TACTCCAGCCTGGGTGACAAAGTGAGACTGTCTCAAAAATAAATAAATAAAAAAAATACAGGTTTTGGGGCTCTACCCCATTTCTAATTCAGTAGCTCTGGGGCAGGGCTCAAGAATGTGCATTTCTTTTTATTTTTATTTTTTGAGATGGAGTTTTGCTCTGTCACCCAGGCTGGAGTACAGTGGTGTGATCTCGGCTCATTGCAACCTCCACCTCCTGGGTTCAAGTGATTCTCCTGCCTCAGTCTCCCAAGCAGCTGGGATTACATGTGCCAGCCACCATGCCTGGCTAATTTCTGTATTTTTAGTAGAGACAGGGTTTCACCATATTGGCAGTTGGTCTCAAACTCCTGACCTCAGGTGATCTACCTGCTTTGGCCTCCCAAAGTGCTGGAATTACAGTTGTAAGCCACCATGCCCAGCCTAGAATGTGCATTTCTATGGATACAAAAAAAATAGTAAGAATAAATAAGATCTAGTATTTGACAACACAATAGAGTAACTATAGTCAATAATTTAATTGTACATCTTAAAATAACTAAAAGAGTATAACTGGATTGTTTGTAATGAAAAGGATAAATGCTTGAGGTAATGGATACCCCAATTACTCTGATGTGATAATTACATGTTACATGCCTGTATCAAAATAGTTCACACACACACACACACACACACACACATATACATATATATATATATTCTATGTACTCACAAAAATTAAAAATTAAGAATTTGCATTTTAATCAGTTATCTCTGGTAATACTGATGCTCCTCATCAGGGGACCACACTTTGAGAATGATTGCTATAGATTAGCAACAATGAAACTTACAATAAAATTACTTACCCAGGAATCTAACAAAAGATATGTAATACTTAAACACAGAACACTATAAATCATTGTGGATATAAGTGAAAGAGAATCTAAAAAAATGTACTTATGTACTTTGGAAAATTCAATATTCTGAAGATGTCAATTTGCCTCAACCTAATCTATAACTTAATGCAATTTGATTAAAAATTTCCATAGGCTTCTATTTGTGGAACCCAATAAATCTAAAAGGTATATTGAGGCACTGTGAGTAAAGAACACAGATAATTAAGACAGGCTTCTTACTTCCTGGGTTTGAATACTGGCTCCATCAACTACTCTGTGACTATGAACATGTTACTTAACCCTTCTGTGCCTCAGCTTTCTTACCTCTGAAATAAGGAAAAACAATTCTATCTATCACATAAGATTGTTACGGGGGGTTAGATATGTATCAATAAATACATACAAAAATATATACATATATAGTTTAGATGAGTGACTAGTACACACTAAGTGCTATGTATGATAGTTTGATAAAGAAGATAAATAAAATCAAATAAAATAATAGAGATTAAATCTATTTAACATCAGGAGACCCATGCATGTATGGACATGATTTATGATAAAGGTGGGTCTGTAGAAAACTGAGGAAAGGGTCACGTGCAGTGGCTCACGCCTGTAATCCCAGCACTTTGGGAGGCCAAGGTGGGTGGATCACTTGAGGTCAGGAGTTTGAGACCAGCCTGGCCAACATGGCAAAACCCCATCTCTACTAAAAATACAAAATTTAGCCAGGCATGATGGTGCATGCCTGTAATCTCAGCAATTTGGGAGGCTGAGGTTGGGAGAATCTCCTGAACCCGGGAGGTGGAAGTTACAGGGAGCCGAGATTGTACCAGTGCACTTCAGCCTGGGCGACAGAGAGAGACTGTCTCAAAAAGAAAAAAAGAAAAAAGAAAACTAAGGAAGGATGCAATTTGTTGCCCATATGGGAAAAACAATTGACTCAAACTTCATGCTATAAAGAGCAATTCTAGGTAGACTACAGATCTAACTGGGGTGGGTAAAAATATAAAGTGTGTGAATGATAATCCAAGAGAATGTCTTCAAGACTTTAGAGAAAAGAAATCTAAACACGTATGGGTACTAACCCAAAAGGAAAAAATGATACATTTCACAACATTAAAATTAAGATCTTGTGTTATTAAAAGAGGCCATTAGGAGAATGAGAAGGAAAGTTACACACACACCGTGGGAAAAGATTTTTAACACCTATCACTGATGAAAAGCCTGTATCCAAAAGAATATACAGAACTTCACAGAACAAAAGCAAAAAAAAAAAAAAAAAAATTCTTTAAAACAACCCAAACGAAAACAAAAACACCAACAACCTCAAAGCCAAAATGACAGGTAACTCAATGAAGAAATGGACACAGAATTTAAACAGGAATTTCACAAAGGAGAAAATCCAAATGGCCACAACAATTAAAAAAAAAAACACCTTAATTTTATTACTAATCAAGGAAATGAAAATCAATTCACTCAACACTCCAGAATTGCTAAAAATTAACTGGGTATTGGTGAGAATGTAAAGCAACAAGAATTCTCATGTACCACTGGAGGAGGAAGAAATTGGTACAACCACTTACTGTAGCATTACCCAGTCAAGATAAACATATACAGAATCCTATGGCCCATCAATTTTAAGTATACACATCCAAAGAAATATGTACATATATGAATCAGGAGATAAACTATAATGATAAAGGTATATATTATTTCTAATAGCCTCAAACTAGGAACAAACTGTATGTATCCTAACAGCAGAAAGGGTATAAATTACGTGACAGCCATAAAATGGAATTCTATACAATGATAACAAATGAGTACAGCTACTTGCAACTACATGGTTGAATCTTGAAAACAAAATGCTGAGTGAAAGAAATCTGCCTAAAAATGTAGGCAGCATAAATTCTAAAGCAAGGAAAAAAATGATTGCCATAAAAGAGAGTATAGTGATTTCCTTAGCAAGGGGGAGGGGATCCTGACCAGGAATGGAAGCCTGTAGGACTTCCAAGGTGTTGGCAACATTCTTGTTGTTAAGGGTCTATGCACCTTTCTCTACGCTTTATAAAGGTAGGAGAGAGGAAGATAGGGAGGGTCTGGAAGATGAAAATTTCTAAGTTGTTGAATCTAGGCTTTGTCAAAATTTAAAAGGAATCATGGGTTCTAAAATGTTAGTATATATCTTAGGGTAGGACTATCTCAGAAGATAAGGTCAGACAGATTTTCCATCACTGGATAAGAGGATAAAACTGCCAAATACTGAAAGAGGAAGTGGCTCCATGAGGATGGGACTAGATCCCTGAGAAAAGGTGTAGTATTCTGGAGTAGAGGAAAGGGAAGGCAGATGGAAAGAAACAATTGTTGAGTATGTTAGTGCCCACAAATCCTGCTTTATCTCACCTCCAAGCCTGTATAAATGCTGTATCTAGCCAGTTCTTCCTGCTGTTCCTTTCCAAGAAACTCCAGCCCCTGCCCCGTCCTTTCTAAGAGCCACTCATCCTCAAATGGCAGGGTTACATGGCATGGTACTTCTCTGCTCTCTACTCCACAGACAAATCTTTCACCTTCTCTAGACAAGTGACCCCTATGTTACAGGCTGTCTGGCTAAGGTCCTGACAAGGCGGAACTGAGAATACACTAGAGGGTCTCTTCAGAGAGAGGACAAGGATAGAACACTGGATTGGGCTTTCCTTCATGGAGTTCCTTCTCTCAGTAGTCTTGGAGAAGGGTGAGTAAGGAAAGAAGTGAGTTTGTCTGAGTTGGGGCTCAGCACATGTTCCTATCCCTACTTTTAACCCAAGCTCTCCCCACCCCAGAAAAGTAAGTGGGGTAGGTATTAATAGTCTAATTTTATCAACTAGGAAGCGCAGACCCTGAGAAATAAATACCTTATTCAAGGGTAACAAAGGGAGAGTTAGATTACAAATACTGGTCTCTGGAGTCCAAGGGTGAGCCCTCCAGAATTACTTGGTTAACAGTCATCTTCTGCACTGCCTGCTCCCTCCCAGCCCCCACCCCACCAAATCCAGGTAGACACAGATGCCATCCTCAAGTATGGAAATGTATAGTTTCTAAGACCTTGTTTCAGGGGAACATGGGAAAAGACCAAAAGACAGGGAGCAAAGTATCTCAGGATAATATCCATTGTTGGCCAGAGTGCTCAAGAATCAAGACATGAGGTAACCAATCCTATGTAAGAAGCTGTTCATGCAGCCCATCCTAATGTCCTAACATCCAGGAGTGTAGCTATCCTTCTGCCTTCTATCTTTTCCTCTCTGGCCCAATCAGAGCTCCTGAAGGTCAGAGACATGCAATTCAACAAGTCTATAGGGAGTGCTTTGCTAGGAATGCTCAGTAGCTACTAAGTAACACTGTCCTGGCTACCTTGGGGTGGGAGCCTGTAGCAGAGGTCAGGAGCGGGGAGGGGGTCAATAGTTATCCTGGGTTCAGGCCCAGGACTGTTTGGGGACACACAGAGAAGTTCATTTCCCTTTCTTGCTCTTAAAGACATCCACATTCATTGACCTGGCTCATATATCAAGGCTCTCCTTTCAGTGGAGGAGACCCCTCTGGAAAGAATGGTATCCATTTCTTCCTGGCAGTGTTCACCATTCTGCAAACCACTGACCTGTGGCCTGCTTCATAAACTGGTGGGCGGCTACTAGACAAAGATCTCTGAACAAACCTGCCCTTCCACAGTCCTATTCCTGGAAGTCTTAGTGAGTCTACACCAGCCCTGGAAATGAATTAAAAGGCCAACTCCCATCCTCAGCTGAGTTATTTCCAAGGAACTGGACTGCTCTGCATCTGCCCCATGAACAAGAGCTCCAAAGCAGTACAGTCTGGCCTTGGCTCAGGTGCCAAGTAATGAAACAGGTGCCAAGTAACTATCCAGACATCAGGGTACCTTCCAAATGCATGGCTTCTCACCTCAGCCTCCCACCAAAGTCCAAGGGGCCTCCCACACCATGGATGAGCCTGGGAAACAAGGGGAGAAGTCAGGGAAGAGGCCATAAGCCTTAGCCTATTCCTGTGGGTGGTTTGTCAACTGACTGTCATTTCTTAGAGTTCTAGTGCCAAGTTCCAAAGGCCTATTCTACCCATAAAGAAGAGGCTCACGCATTCCAAGAACAGCTGAAACCAGCTCACTCGTTTATTTGACTGAGAACCTTAAGAAGAACAACAAAATTAAACATTCTTTAATAAAATTCCTATAGAAAACTCAGTCAAAGGGCAAATACTCAGTTCTCTGTCCCATATCATTGAGGATTGAGAGCTCCCAGTATTCTTTGGAGAATAAGCAGTAGTTTTGCTGGATGTTGCCAGAACTCAGAGAGATCATCCATTTACACATTCAAACCAGTAGTTCCTATTGCACATATTAACATTACTTGCCCCTAGCACCCTAAATATATGGTACCTCAACAATTAACTTAAAGATTTCTATGTGGCATGAAACCATTTCAACTTGAACTAATATCCTTGAAAAAAATCACATTATTACAAGTTTTAATAAATACAGTAAGAAGAGCTGGCATTTTTCTAAAATACTGAATTTCAGATCTGGAGTTTATTCCATAAATAGGTTTCTTTTCATTTGCTTGCTTTCTTGGATACGTTTGCTCAAGTATTATTCTCTATGAAGTGAACTCTTTCATAGATACCATATAAAAACCATATTAATATGTGCCTCATTATAGAAGCAGCTGGAAGAACTGGATCACACAGTTACCTAACTGAAAAGTAACTTAGGAAAAAGCTCTGCTTTCTGTAAAACTTTAAAACACAAGTTGAAGAATACCAAAGAAACATTTATATAGAACTCCCACTAGAAATTTTATAAATATATATGTAGCATATTTATATATATTATATTTGCCTCACCAGTAGATTTTCAGCAAGTCTGGCTGGAATGATGCTATCATGGAGATAAATATTAACAAAAGAATTAATGCGTGTCCACAGGTTTAAAAGATTTCTTCTCGAAAATAATCATAAATTCAAATTATATTATGATTTGCAGTTTATACAATTTTCAAAGGGAAGAAAGATAGATGCTTTTCTTTTCAGCCTCATTTGGAAAGTAAGAATAGCCACCAACTCTCAGGTGTGGATAAGTTGTTGGCTGAGTGACAACACTTGGTCACAATATTGAAAAGAAGTATTTACACCATTCTGGGAAAGTACCAAACATTAGAAAAAACAAACAAAAACAGAAACAATCTCTAGTAGCATTCCTTGGCGTGCAAAGTCAGCAGGAAATGATTATCCATTGACAGTTTTCATGATAAGTCTTGGAAGTATTCAAAAAGCAGAGGGAATATCGGGGATTATTCAGATTAGGTTCTGTGGGATGCCTTGTTCTTAATTTAACTCTGAGTTCCAGGATTTCATTCCCTTTATAACAACTCTGACAGGGTCAGGTTCGATTTAGTGCAAGTGCAAAATGAAAATGAAATGAAACCAACAAATACGTTAGGAGCAAAGGCTGATCGTTAAGATCTGTAGTCTTTCCGAACTGTGTGGGCCATCCAGTTCACTTTAGTAGTCCAGCTTTCCCTGAGCGCCTCATCAAATTTTTGCTTAAACTGTTTGAGTGCTTCTTCTTCACTCTTCCCCAATGCAAGAGAGTCCTAAAATGGAAGGGGGGAAATATGATTTTATATACCTTTTGTAGAGATGTGCAAATATCAAAGTTTGTGGGAGGCTGGCTTGGTTGTGCCTCCCTGGCCACCATCAAGCAGCATGCTTCCTGTTCTTATTTAAATATTATCTGTAGGAGCCAGAACCCCAAGATAGGGAGATAATATGACTTCTTCCAAAAGATTTTTGAAGATGAAAATAATTTATAATTACTGCAGGACATAAAGCAGCTTGCCACTACCACCCAAATCCAGTAAGATGACTCAAGACCCACTAAGACCCTGGCAAGAAAAAGGCAGGCTGTTGAAAATCATGGTGTTAACCTGCTCCTGATCTGCAGTCTTCCAGTAATGTTAGTAAGAAGGCCATAGCCCAATACCAGTCTTCTTTATGCTGCTTCTACTAATGGGAAAATCTTTTGGGTTACAAGCTACTCTTCAAAATTCCTCCTTTATGTGAACTTCCCAGATTCTTTCCCTCCTGGCTAAGAACCATCTTAGAGGAAATGACTTTGTTCTACTCCTTTCAGACACTTGAATAAAACAGGCAGCTCAAACTGAGCTCAATGCCCACAAAGTCCAATGTAGAAGGAAAAGGGGTTTTATACCTTAAGATACTGTATATCCTTGACTGATGTGAGTTCAGGGAGCCCTGCAGTTAACATCAATGCAAAGAGAGTGATGAAGAGATTCCCATGCCGTCGTAAAATCAGATACGCATCCTCACAACACTGACGGAACCTTTGGTTGATGCAGCAAACCACATGAGCACAGTGTTAGAGGGGAAACAGCACATTTCATAAAGGAAATTAAGAAGACACAGCTAAACTTTCTATTTGAATAAGAACATTTCTACTGAACTAAAGGTTCATTTCTGATTTTTACTTCCATGAAAACTGTCCCAGGACTAAAATCTACATGAAACAGTCAGTTTAACTTCACGCACCTATTTTTCAAAAACAAAACTAAATCGAAATTCTATGATAAAAGGCTATAATATTTTTATTAATAATCTCGACTTTTTAATCTATGAGACACAAGAACTGATTATTAATTCAGTGATAATTACAATCCATGAGGATTTCTGAACATACTTCTGGGTTCTGTACTTGTGGTCTAATTCCAGGGACTACTTTTTTTTAATGTCCTTCCTATCAGTGTCAGTGCTTTTGCATTGCTCCTTCCTATCATCCTGCCTTCCCTCTCTCTCCTCTTCAAGATGGTCCTTCAAGAGGATCATCCAGTTTTTTTTTTTTTTTTGAGATGAAGTCTTGCTCTGTTGCCCAGGCTGGAGTGCAGTGACTCAATCTCGGCTCACTGCAACCTCTGCCTCCGAGGTTTAAGTGATTCTCTCCTGCATTAGCCTCCTGTGTAGCTGACATTACATGTGTGCGTTACCACACCCGGCTACTTTTTATATTTTTAGTACAGATGGGGTTTCACCATGTTGGCCAGGCTAGTCTCAAACTCCTGACCTCCAGTAATCTGCTTGCCTCAGCCTCCCAAAGTGCTGGGACGTCAGCTACCATGCCAGGCTGAGGCGCATCCAATTTTATCCCTCTTATTTTGCCAAAGAGAAAACTTGACCCACTGAGGAATATTCTGCAGAAACTCAGGCAGAACTATAAAGGATAGTGACAATCATTTGTTAAGTATGTGTTGGTCACAAGATATATCTCTAATCATCATAGTAGCCCTTAATTTTTTTATTTTTGTCCCCACTTTAAGATGAAACAAAGGCAAAAAGTATTAAGCTTGGGAACAGGCAGGTAGTGAGTAATAGATCAGAGATTATGAAATTTGCCCTGAACCCTGGTTCCGTCACTATACTCCATATACAATGATAGCAGATGTCTTTTCAGCATCTCCCTATCAACTGTCTTAATCTTTTCAGAGAATTTTCTGAAACAGGTAAAAGGTAGTATATTCTTGGAATAAAATACAATAACTATTTTAAATTTCTAGCATTCTGTTTCTCCTGAGAATTTCTGAACCAGCACAATAATCTGACAGGCAAATTCCCCCAAAAACTTCCTATAATCAGACTGAATATTTCCCAGATCCAAATATAACTCAGCTAAGAAATGCTAGTCTACTTGGTCAGATAAGAAAATGTTAGCAGTGTTTAGCCTTGACACAAGGGCAGTAGTACTCACCGGCCAAACTTTTCTGTATTTCCTGTTTTTCCTTGTTGAATGACATGGATGAAATCATAGGTAAGAATAAAAGGCACTCGCTCCCTTTTAATGCCAAACTTAGATTTGAAATTTCCAAGAATATGTCCAAAGTCAATGTGGAAGAGCTGGAAAACAAATGGGATTTAATTTCTTTCATTTTTCTGGTGGGTTCTAAATAGAAGGCAAAACCTCCATAGTCCTAGACCCCCAGGCACTATACCCAACCTCATCTAAGCTGTTCTCCCTCTGTTTATAGCCTACTCAGCCAAATGAGAAAAGAGCACATCTAACACTCTTAAGACTTGTATAATCAATAATAACCCTGATACTAAACTGTAGATATCTAGTGGGAAAGGAGACTCTTTTTTTTTTTTTTTAAAGGGTAAGAATTTCTTTTTTCTTTCTTTATTTTTTTTTTAGATGGAGTCTCACTCTGTTGCCCAGGCTAGAGTGCAGTAGCTCACTGCAATGACGGCTCACTGCAACCTCGAACTCCCTGGTTCAAGCGACTCTCCTATCTCAGTCTCCAAGTATCTGGGATTACAGGAACATGCCGCCATACCCAGCTAATTTTTTTTTTTTTTTTTTTTTTTTTAGATGGAGCACTCTGTTGCCAGGCTGAGGTACAGTGTCACGATCTTGGCACACTGCAACCTCTGCCTTGGGTTCAAGCGATTCTTCTACCTAGGAGACGCTTTAGAAAGAAAAATACATCCAAATAATTAAAATGTATGATTTTTAAAAAGTCAAATAGTTTTATAAAACATAACAAGAAAAGAGTACAGGTTGGGTGTGGTGGCTCATACCTGTAATCCCAGCACTTTGGGAAGCTGAGGCAGGAAGATCATTTAAGCCCAGGAGTTTAAGGCCAGCCTGGGCAACATAGCAAGATCCCATCGCTACAAATGTACAAAAAAAATTAGCCAGGCATAGTGGCACGTACCTGTGGTCCTACCTCAGGAGGGTGAAGTGGGAGAACTGCTTGAACCTGGGAGGTTGAGGCTGCAGTGAGCCATGATCATGCCACTGCACTCCAGCATGAGTGATAGAGTAAGACCCTATCTCCAAAAAAGTACACCTTTTCCCTATTAGCTCCCCACATGGAGTGCTATTTGGAGATAACTTCTTACTCTTCTCACTAGGTGTTTTTCCTGGTGTCTGCCTCTATTTTTCTAAATAATATGTTTATACTCATTTTTGCTTCCTAATTGCATATTACTATTCTTATTACGGAAGATAAAGATTTAGTACTTTTATGCTAAGAAAATGCTACACACTGTGACACATTATGTCATAATATCTGGTGACCTCAATATTCAGTGTTTTTATTTTTCACATGTTGTTCACCTTTTTTCCTTGAGAAACTGTATGCAGGTATTCATACATTCATTTAGTTTAGTGTTCTATGATCTTATCATTAATTCTTCCCAAACTCTCCTTAAAAATCTACAAATCAAACAACAACAAATCTACAAATCATTTTCAAAACTGCTTTCCAGTCAGTCAGGTAATCTGTTCGTTTCTATCTGGGCTGCTCGTTCTCTGGTCCTGCTGCAGAGCCATCATCCTCGGCCTTCCCTTTCCTCTTCTCCCATTTGGAGCCCCTGTTTTCTGTATCCAACATCACATTCTCTTTGGTTGAGACCAGGGCTTCTCAACATTGGTGCTATTGGTATTTTAGGCCATATAATTATTTGATATAGGGTTCTGTCCTGTATACCACAGGGTGTTTAGCAGCATCCCTGGCTTCTACCCACTAGACTATGCCAGCCCCAGTTATTGCAATGAAAACTGTTTTCACATATTGACAAATATCTCCTGAGGGAAAAAAAAAAATCACCCCACTTGAAAATTATTGGTTTAGGCTCTTGTTTTGGTAGATGCCCTTATTTTGGCAATCTCTGAGAAAAGATGCAGAGGAGTGACAGCTTTTGAGACCCTGCAAGTTGGAAAAACATCTTCATTCTACCCCTTATATTTGATTAATAGTTTGGTTATTGAATTTTAGGTTAGAAATAATTTTTCCTCAAAATTATGAAGGCTAACTTGCACTGTCTTCTTTTTTTTTTTTTGAGACGGAGTTTCGCTCTTGTTACCCAGGCTGGAGTGCAATGGCACGATCTCGGCTCACCGCAACCTCCGCCTCCTGGGTTCAGGCAATTCTCCTGCCTCAGCCTCCTGAGTAGCTGGGATTACAGGCACGCACTACCATGCCCAGCTAATTTTTTGTATTTTTAGTAGAGACGGGGTTTCACCATGTTGACCAGGATGGTCTCGATCTCTTCACCTTGTGATCCACCCGCCTCAGCCTCCCAAAGTGCTGGGATTACAGGCTTGAGCCACCGCGCCCGGCCACTTGCAGTCTTCTAATCGCCAATGCTAGCTATCGAGGAACTGAGTTATTCTGACTTCTAAACTCTGCTATGTGATCTGCTGTGTCTCTGGGGAGGTTTTAAGACTTGCTCTTTATGTTTGATACACTGAAATTCCACAGTGCAGACCCTTAGTAAGGGTGTTTTTCTTACATTATCTGAGAATTTTTGTGCTATTTTGACTGAATATTAATCAACACTGGCTCTGGGAAATGTCTTAGTATTATTTGCTTAGTAAGTGCCCTTCTTTCCTCTTCCCTTTTACTTCTCTCTGGAATTTCCATTTAAGCTGAGAGCATACCTCCCTGGACAGAGTCTCTATCATTTCTGGATCTTTTCTCTGTTTATCATATTTTTTGGAGATATTAAGGCATAGTAGATTAAAAAAAAAGAATATGAGCAAAACTGCCAGGGTTAAAATCCTGGTATGTCTACTCTCTTTTGCCTTAATATCATCACTTGTAAAATGGGGCTAATGCCACCACTCTATAAGGTTGTCATTAGGACCAAAGGCATTAGATTATAGATAAAGCACTTACTATGCCTGCCACAAAATATTTACCTATTTCTATTTTAACTTTTTATTTGTTCCTATTTCTAATTTTCAAGACCTCTATGTTCTGACTATTAAAAAAACAGAACCCTATAACTTATAGATACAACGTATTGTTTTGCCTTGATTTTTAAAATCACCCTCTGTTTACTGCAGTTATCCTGTTTTCTTTTCTTCCCTATTTTGCTTGTTTAGTCTCTATCTTTCATGGTAGAGGCTTCCCTTAAATGTCTGCTAATCCGGTAGCAAGGAGAATGGTGGCTGCAAGGCCTGGGAAGATATTGGTCAAATAACACAAAATTTCACTTAGGAGGAATAAGTTCAAGAGATCTGTCTTATAACACGGCAACTATAATATGCTGCATTCCTGAAAACTGCTGAAAGACTAGATTTTAAATGTTATCATAACAAAAAAGGTAAGTATGTGAGGTAATAATATGTTAGCTCAATTTATCAATTCCACAATGAAGACATATTTCAAAACAATATGTTGCACACGATAAACATATACAATTTTTGTCACTTTTTAAAAGTATCTTAATCCTTAGCTGACGATTCATATTTAACAATGAATCACTAAAAAGCTGAATGAAAGTTCTATGTACATGGTAGGCTTGCTCGTTGATTGGTGGACTTCCTTGTAGAGAAACTAGGGAGGAACCTCAACTGTCAGGATCTGTGGGACTTTTCACCGGGACCAGTCAGATTTCTGGAATGGAATCATCTAGTCTCTTGCTGGGGATGGAGCTATACACCTGGCTGCCAGTATTCTTAGAATAAAGTAAGTGGAAATGGCTGCAGATTGTACCATTTAGTATGCCAACTTTCACTCCATCTCTATTTTTAATATGGGACCCTTTCCTGTAGCCTCTGCAGAAACAAGCGTGCTTGAGTCAGAACCAGTTTCTTCATAAAATAAATCTATCTCCTTCTTGGCACAAGGAAGGGGACTTGAGTACCTAACTGCTCCATATAAAAACTGCCAGCTATTTCTGTTTCAGCCTCTTTTTATATCCCTCCTTGAACAGTTCGTGGTGCCTCTGATTCCAAAGCTTTTATGAGACTTGTGTACCCCTTTCCAAGTACTTTCTATTTTCTCACTTCTGCTAAGTCACTGCCACTTCTCTATCTCACTTTCTATCACCCCCAATTCTAGTAATATGTTTCACCCACTGTGGCCTATTTTCCTATCATCTTTGACTTCTTGAGTTTATATATTTCTTATTCCTTATTACTGTTTTAGAGGGGTATCAGAAGAAAATGGAGATAAACCTAGGTGTTCAATGTGATTGACTGGAAGTCCAAGGGAATCCTTTTAAGTATGGACACAAGCTTCCTCAATCGTATGTAGTACATTCATGTATTATAGGGCATTACAAATTCATTCCCCATCCACTCTCAAAGCCCAAGCCAGAACTAATCCAGATTTCCTAGGACAAAACTCTGGGTCCCTCATAGAACCACAGTTTACACAGTGACCCAGAGAGATTTTCATTCTAGTATGCCTCTAGTGTGGAAATTCCTAGGGTGGCTAAACTGAAAAATTATCTAAGGTATCTCACCTGCCTTTGCTTAATATAAAAAATTTTTATAAACATGTCACTCTGAAAAATGAAATTTTCATTTGAAAACTTAAGTACTCCATAAGTAACCTGGTCTAGATTCCCAAGGTATCCCAGAATGCTATTACTTATTCAACTGTTCTTCCTTCTCCTATAAATGAATAGGTTTGATGTTCTAAAAGAGAAAATGGCTCAAGTGGGGTTCATCCCAACTTTTTTTTCAAATACTGGTTATCTTTAAATTTAATACAACCACCACATTATCTGCTCTTTCTATTAGGTACACATGTATCCCAAATACAATTTCTTATATTAAAAGAACAGGCCACTTTAAAATAACAATAATTTTTTCAATAATTTTTTTTTTGTTTGAGACGGAGTTTCACTCTTGTCGCCTAGGCTGGAGTGCAGTGGCATGATCTCAGCTCACTGCAACCTCTGCTTCTGGGTTCAAGTGATTTTCTTGCCTCAGCCTCCCAAGTAGCTGAGATTACAGGTGTTCACCACTATACCCAGCTTAATTTTGTATTTTTAGTAGAGACGAGGTTTCCTATGTTGGCCAGGCTGGCCTTGAACTCCCGACCTCAGGTGATCTGCCTGCCTCAGCCTCCCAAAGTGCTAGGATTACAGGCATAAGCCACCATGCCTGGCCTTCAATAATTTTTTAAACAAATAAATGCTTACCATCTAACTTTAAGCAAGCAAACAAATGAATACACATAGTAGACTGTATATGAAAAGAAGAGGTGGTAAGAAATTGAAGTGAAGACAAAGACATGACACTGAGAATCCCACTAAAGAATCTGGCTGAGTTGCACAAGAGATTATGCGATGCACAAGTAATAGCATTACTAAGGCCCTTCACAGATCCTGGGGAGCAGCTCACCTGGCCAGTTTTTTTGACCATGATGTTGTCACTATGTCTGTCACCAATCCCAAGGACATAAGAAGCTACACAGTAGCCAGCACAGGACAGAGTAAATTCCTCAATGGCTCGGTCCAGGTCATCCCTGAACAAGAGAAAAAAATAGAAACAAAAAAGATTTTCAGCCTCCAACAGTATTGAGTGAGACCCAAACCATACTTCTGTTTCCTTTTTAATTGTGAGAACACAGAGCTGCCAAAGCCATATAAGAGAACATGTGGATCAGCCAAGGGGAGTGTGGGCGGTCATCACTGGGCAGAGCCGAGAGAGCTGCCTTCAAAGACACTAAATAACTGGGCCTTAGACATTCAAATTCCTGTGTCCTGGAAGCTGTGTTTCAGTGGGGCTGTGCATAGGCTCATGTGGATAGTGGCTAGAAAAGACCATGGCTTTGCTAGATCATGCTGGGGGATGGGAACATTTTTGTTAGTTTTGACCAAATACTGACTACAATTTCATGTTAAGTACTGCAGTTTCAATCATTTAAGTCATGGACTTCAATTAGAAGTAAGTAATAGAGATTCCTTGGAGACAAGGCCTTAAGATCAAAATTTGGAAACTGATTTTCATATTACAAGTCCTTGATAAAATGTATCTGACTTTGAAGTCTTTAGGCAAAAATACTTGCAGACCATTTCCCCCTCACTGTGAAATTCTTTTATTTCCTGTATGTTAGTGCTTTTCTAATACCATAGCCATAATTCCAACCACTGCATCTTTTACTTTGGAGAAATCACAATCTATAAACTCATTAAAAACTTACTTAAGTTCATATATTCACATAATTAGAGAAGCTGATGCACGTGAAGAAAGGCTTTAATACGTTATCTTTAAATACTTAAACTCATAGATTGTAACTTTACTGCAGGGCTCTAAAATTTGATCTAGATAAAGTGGAATTCAACATTTACCATCTGTAAGACTTTAGGAAGGCCTATGTGTCGTTTTTTCTAACCTGAAATGAAGCAATAAATAAAAAACACTACTATTTCCTCTAACACACTGATGACTTCTATTGGGACCATATAGCATTTCTTTGGCTGTCTGTACATAAAAACGATAATTAAACAGAAGAAACTAACCCAGAATTGTATTCTTTAAGCCAATTCAGAAGGGCATCTTTGTTGAAGGCTGCTGCAGCAGCCACATTGCTACTGTTCAGCTGAATGTCAGCAATTGTTTCAGAGGTGCTCACAACTTCAATGAGGCCAGAGCGATCTCCTGTTGCTAAACAGCCATAAGGCAACATCCTGGAAGGAAGAAAATGGGCATAAAGAGTAATATTTTCCTTAAAATGAAACATGAATTTGGTAAGATTTTCCCTTTAATTAAAAATTATTATTAATATACTTGTTACTATATTATTGTCATGGAAAAACACAAGTTCTATCAAGGGAGTAAATCTCTCGGCCAACAGAAGCAGTAATTCACAAGGATTCCAATGTACCAATTATATATAACATTTTTTATCTATTCTGGTGAAACATTCTACTTGATTGCACAGGTGGACAGAAGTACACTGGATAAAACTTTTTCACACTTACTCTAGATTTTGGGGAAGTAAATCACTCTTTATGGAATACCCAGTAAGTACCATGTGCCAGACTAAGCACTTTAGGGAAACTCCATCCTTATAGTTGTTCAAGCCTACAATCTTTCTTTTTTTTTTTTTGAGACAGGTCTCACTCTGTCACTCAGGCTGGAGTGTGGTGGTATAATCTCAGTTCATTATGGCCTCAAGCCATCCTCTCACCTCAATCTCCTGAGTAGATAGATGGGACTACAGGCATGCGCCACTACACCTGGCTAACTTTCAAAAATTTTTGTTGAGACAGGGTTTGGCCATGTTGCCCAGGCTGCTCTTGAACTCCTGGGCTCAAATGTTCCTCCCTCCCCAGCCTCCCAAAGTGCTGGGATTACAGGCATGAACCACCACACCTGGCCAAGTATGGATTTTTCACTGTTGTATCTATCCTCAGTGCCTCAGTCTAGGCCTATCACAGTAGGTGCTCAATTAATATTTTAAAATCAATAAACAAACTGAATAATACAAACCCTACAAGGTAAGTTACCAATTTTACAAATGAGTAATGTAAGTAACTTCCCAAAAGTCATACATTTAACAAAGTGGAAGACCTAAGACTTAAAGTTGGGCCTTAAATGGGTCTTAGATTAAAAAGATGTAAAGATGTCTTTATATAGATAAAGTCACTGATTATGCAACAGGCTGCTTCTTGTGAGTAAAAACAGATAGGCTGAGTTCGATGAAGAACTGCTACATGTTTTACAGTTTTCAGTGACTGAACAAAGACTTAAACCATACCAGCAATGTGACATCAATGGGTCTGCATGCTGACTTCTCATTTCTTGAGTTGAGATCTTACCTCCCCTATTGGAGGTGACTGAGTATTTACAAAGGACTAGTAATCTGTCAGAAAGATGAGAACCGATATTCTAACTAGAGCAATAAATTCTGAAGAAGAGATTATCAATTAAATTTTTTGCTAAATTGATAGGTGGCATTTTGCTTTGATTTGCACTTATTTGATCCCTAAAAAAGATAATTATTCTCAGATCTCTTTTGCCCATTTTTTTTTTAACAGTCAGTGTGTCACTTTGTTGCTCAGGCTGGAGTGCAGTGACACGATCATAGCTCACCCTAGCATCAAAGCCCTGGGCTCAAGGCAATCCTCTCTCCTTTGGCTGCCAGAGTCATTGGGACTACAGGCATGTGCCACTATGCTTAATTTTTTTTTTTAATTTTTGTAGAGATGAGGTTTTACTTTGTTGCCAAGACTTGTAACTCCTGGCTTCAAGTGATCCTCCTGCCTCACCTTCCTAAAGTGTTGGATTACAGGCATGAGCCACTGCACTTGGATCTTTTAAGCATTCTAAGATTTCTTTCGTGACTTAGCTATTTATATTCTTTGCCTATTTATTTAGGCTTTAGACGTTTTCTTCAGTGACTTACGTGAACTCTTTGTATACTAACATTACCTTTTTCTTGGCTGGGTGCGGTGGCTCATGCCTGTAATCCCAGCACTTTGGGAGGCTGACATGGGCAGATCACCTGAGGTCAGGAGTTCAAGACCAGCCTAACCAACATGGAGAAACCCCGTCTTTACTAAAAAAATACAAAATTTAGCCAGGCGTGGTGTTGCATGACTGTAATCCCAGCTACTCAGAAGGCTGAGACAGGAGAACTGCTTGAACCTGGGAGGCGGAGGTTGCAGTAAGCCAAGATTGCACCACTGCACTCCAATCTGGGCAACAAGAGCGAGACTCCAACTCAAAAACAAACAAAAAAAATTATGTTTCTCTCATTTTGGTTGCAAATATTTTCTCTAAGTTCTAAAAACTGTATTATAATAAGAACACCAAAATGGAATGAGATAGGTTCAAATAAAGATCAGGTAGCTATAGAAAATACAGTGGATGGAATTCATGGGCTCAATAAATACTTGGGTACAGCTAACCAAGCACTGTGTTAGATGCTGGTGATACAGAAATAAGCAAAAATCAACCAACCAAACAAACAAGAAAACCAAAAAGCAGCAGTCCCTACACTAATTGAGCTTACGAAGTGCAAATGTACAATGTGCATGTGTATAAGGAAGAAGTGCCAGGAGAATATGGCAGGAGTCAAAAAAGACTTCCATGTGGAGGAATGACAGCAGGGTTGGAGGAGAGCACGGGGAGCACAACAAAAAGATGAGCTGAAGACACAGTAAGTACTGAAAAGACCATGCAGGTCCCTGTTGGCCATGTAAGGACTTCTGTCATACTCCTAAAAGCACTGAGAAAACTTCTGAAGGACTTTATGAGTGACAAAGAGAGACCTGTGTGTTGTGGGGAGGAGGGAGCATATGAGTAGTTATCATGTGTCACAATAGATAGTTTCTAAAATTAAACAGTTTCTAAAACTCCTCTGTCTCCCAAAATTAAATTATTTTATGCTTTTTAAAAAGAACTTTTCTGTCAGGCATGGTGGCTCACGCCTGTAATCCCAGTAATTTGGGAGGCCAAGGTCGGTGGATTATCTAGGAGTTCGAAACCAGCCTGGCCAACATGGTGAAACCCCGTCTCTACTAAAAATATAAAAAATTAGCTGGATGTGGTGGCAGGCACCTATAATCTCAGCTACTTGGGAGGCTGAGGCAGGAGAATTGCTCGACTCTGGGAGGCGGAGGCTACAGTGAGCCAAGATCATGCCATTGCACTCCAGCCTGGGCAACAAGGACAAAACTCCATCTCAAAAAAAAAAAATAATAATAATAATAATAACAGTACTTTCCTAGTCCTAGCAAATGAGGTTGGGAGCAGAAATGTCAAAATACATGATAAGAGAATGAAGCAGTCTCTTAACGCAGCATTAATGTTTTTAATAACACCCCTTATTCTTATGACACAACACACGGAAAGCAAACACTGCCAGGTTAAAGTGTAGTTTCTCACTTTCCTGCATCTCCTCTCACTCCACTTGCAGCCAAAGTAGGCACAAGTCCAATAACTTCCTTTTCAAAAGCAAGCAACGATGAAAGCACTCAGTGCCTTGAGGGTAGAATGTTCACAATGAGAAGGAAAAAACATCCTTCTCAGAGAGACAGTTTGACAGAAGTCAAGGTGAGGACAAACTCTTGGAGCCCTGATCATCTCACCTAGGTCTCCATTGCACTCAACTGTTACATTTCTTATAAACGCCAAGATAACAATTTCAGTAATGTTTAACCTCCTTTCTCAGACTTTCTAACTCAAGTAGCAATTTGTTATCTTTCACACTAAAGCAAGCATTTAAAAATGAAATAAATTCTACAGCACTGGGATGGCAGCTCCACATCCTTATTCCAAACCGGTAACAAGTTATCTGGCTTAAAAAAAATTTGTTACAACTTGTATATATACATGGGGTAGAAGTGCAATTTTGCTACATTGATACATTGCACTGTGGTGAAGTCAGGGCCTTCAGTGCATCTTATTACTGGAGCAACAGACATTGTACCCACCAAGCAACCTGCCATCAACCCACTCCTCCAAGTCCCCACTGCCCATCATCCCACACTCTTCTCTATGTGTATATATTATTTAGCTCCTGCTTATGAGTGAGAATATGTGATATTTGTCTTTCTTATCTCTGATTTTGACTCTGACACAATGACTAGAGTCTGAGTAGTACCTTAGCCCATGGCCTCCAAAGGAGAAAAGTATTAATCTTTTACCTAATGCTTGCATTGTTTCCACCTTCTTCTTCCAACCCTCTGAGACTGCTGATACCATTTACTGAATAACTTCTGTATAGGTCTCTTAAAAGGGAAGTAGGCCAGGCACGGTGGCTCACACCTGTAATCCTAGCACTTTGAAAGGCCAAGGTGGGTGGATCACTTAAATCACGGAGTTCAAGACCAGCCTGGGCAACATGGTGAAACTTCGTCTCTACAAAAAATTCAAAAATCAGCCAGGCATGGTGGCAGGTGCCTGTGGTCCTAGCTACCCAGGAGGTTGAGGTGGAAGATCACCTGAGCCAGGGGTTTCAGGCTGCCATGAGCCATGATTGTGCCACTGTACTCTGGGTGGGGTGACAGAGTGAGACCCTGTCTCAAAAAAAAAAAAAAAGGATGTAAAATGTAAACTCCGTTAGTGTAACTCAGATATGAACTCTTAATGGAGTCAACTGTCAAAAAACTGATTTCACATGTATTTGTATGGGTGGAGCGGGGGCATGCAGAGGACTGGCAAATCTACCCCAAGACCAAATAGGTTTACGTGTAGCCAACCTATAAGATTTGCTTATTATCTGTTGACCAAAGGTCGTCAGGTTATCCGTGTCCTAACATACTGATGTCTTACAAATGATATAAGTTGACATAAAAAATACTAAAAGAATATTTTGTAACATCACAGAAAAATGAAGACAAGCAATATGCATTAACATGGCACTGTTACAAGTACTAAAACAGTAACGTATAGAAGGTACCTCAAGATTTGGGATTGACTTTAAAAGTGTGTGCTATGTGACCCAGTTTAACCTGAACAGCTGGTCGAAAGAAAAACAAACAAAATAGAAACATTGGAGCACATATATTTATAGAAACAGTAAGTAAAAAAGGTTTGGCAAGAGAAAGGTATCAGTTTGGAAATGAACTTTAAAAAAAATTAAAGTCCTGCATTTTTTAAAAAAACATGGGGTCAGAGTACAAAAAGTCAGCAAAGATCCCACTGGACAGACAAGTTCCTTTTTCTTCACACAGTGTTTCCCATCAGATAGACACTAGGTTTATTTCTAGCACTCCCACATGTGGCTGCCTCCCATTGTCTCAGGTCACAATGAACTTCATTTGATGCTAAATGTGCTTTACATTTAGATTAAATAAATAAAATCAAAACTAAGAGAGAATAACTTGTTCAGGGTTTTCAATTAGGCTGAAGGAACTAAGAATGCCAGGAAATAGTTTTAGCTTAGCTTTTCATAACTAAATGAGGCTTGTAATATGACCTGAATCTACTATTAGCAAAGGAGACCATTCTGTAGCTTCTGTGCTAACTTTGGAAAGAAGAAATGAGTTACTAAACTTCAGCTTGAAGTTTCCCTCCTTTTTTGTTGGATCATTCAAGTAAAAACATATTCCTGGGGGGTGGGGGTTTATTTTAAATAGGAGGAGTCGGTAATCTTTTCCTGGAATAAGCCAGAAAATAAGTATTTTAGGCACTACAGACTAAACACTTAACTCTGCAGTTGCAGCACAAAAGCAGCCATAGATAATATGTAACCAAATGGCTGTGTGCCAATAAAATTTTGTTTACAAAAACAGGTAGCCCAGGTGCAACTGGGTTTATGATCCTCAAGCAGACGGTTTATTCTAGGAACCTATTCCCCTTATCTACACAGCATACCTTATGAGTGGTTGAAAAATTTGCTACCTATTCAAAGGCACTAATTCTATTTTTACACAGCTACATTAGAAATTCCTCCTAATTTAAAAGAAAAAAAAAAATCTGTCACTTGTGATAGCCATAGTGTCCTTTTTAGATAAATTATGATCTCTTTTTTTTCCTAATCACATCTACAATCCCATTAAACGAACAAGACTCACATCAAATTGCTCTATCTTTACACTACCAGAAAAGTGTAACTTGGAGAATCTAAAAATAAAAAAATATTTATTAAAAAAAAAGGAAATTCAGGTATTTTAGGCACCATTATACTTTGATAAACAAAGAGTAGTACTAGACATGTCTTGTCTAGTACAATTGTTTTCTCACTTAGCCATACGAATAAAATAACAGGCATTAATTTAGTAACTGACAGCCTGGATTTGAATTTAGCTCTGCCATTTAATATTTCTATAACCTTTGTTTAAAATCACTAGCACTTTAATTTTTTAATGTATTAAAAAGAAATAACATAGCCTCACAGAATTGTGAGCTTATGTGATATTACTTATGAGAGGAACTTAATACAATGCCTGGTTCAGGGGGTCCAAAGTGGCTCCCGCCGGAGGTCATGGCGCTCGCGAAGGCGAGGTCATCAGTTCAAGGCTAACCTGAGCAACCTCATAAAGCTCGAACTGATTGGCAAAAACAAAAAAAAACAATGCCTGGTTCAGTTAATAAACAGCAAGAGTTGCAAGTTTAAAAAATATATAACATATATATTTCATAATAAACTATATAAGTGAAACTTAAAACTAATCAGGAGATATTATAATCTTGCAGGAACAAAGTTAATTACAAGTCTAACTGTTTCCAGCAACCTTGTAGACTAAGTGGCTGTAGATACTAAATCACATTTAAAAAATGATGAAGTCCAAGATTTTATAAATAGGTGTAGTTAAAAAAGAAAGAAAAAAAGACCTGTAGGTTCCAAAAATAGAGATTACTCACAGCAGTGGCTCAGGAAGTTAGACTTGGCTGACATTTCAATGCTCACCAAAAAAAAGTCACGGACTTAGGCCTATGAGGTAGGATCAGGACCCGAGATCCTACACAAAGCTGAGGTCTAGGAGGACTGGAACTTGCAAACATCTGTTCACTGATTAGATGGTGTGGCATGATAGTTTCCCATCTACCCCAGAAACTGGGTGGGTAAGAAAAAAAAGATTTCATGTAACTGCAAAAATTCAAGCCTTCCCACACTCTCTTAAGAGATCTAAATATAAACTATGAGGTGCGATGGTCTGAAGGTAAGGAGTTAACATAAAAACTGGTTGATTGTGTGTACAGGCCTTTGGCAACAGCACAAACAAAATACAAACTCATTTTTAGAGATATATTCACAACCCAGTGAGCAAAGGACCTTCATAGAAAACATAATATCCATCAACAATGAATTCAAAACTGAGTATTAACTACATAAGAAAATGAATAAGATTATGCAGAAAAATAAAAATAAGAAGACCACAATTTCTCAGCCCTGAACTCTGTCACGCGAGGCCAGCAGGGGTCAAGAGAACAATTCAGGCCAGGCACGGTGGCTCACACCTCCCAGCACTTTGGGAGGTCAAGGTGGGCAGATCACATGGTCAGGAGATCAGGACCATCCTGGCCAACACGGTGAAACTCCATCTCTACTAAAAATACAAAAATTAGCTGGGCATGGTGGCATGTGCCTGTAATCCCAGCTACTCAGGAGGCTGAGGCAGGAGAAGAATCGTTTGAACCTAGGAAGTGGAGGCTGCAGTGAGATCACGCCATTGCACTCCAGCCTGGGCGACAGGGCAAGACTTGGCCTCAAAAAAAAAAGCTTTTTCTAAACTTTTATTCTTGAAATACTCTACAATTTAAAAGATACATACGTATATATACATACATATAGACACACACACATATTTCTTTATATCTATATATCTTTTACCCAGTTCTTTATATATATATATAAAGAACTGGGTAAAAGATAGTTAATCATCAATTACTAGCACAGAAAAAAAGTTCTAAAACTGTATGAGCCTATACTGTATCATGAAACATACTTAATGGCTTTTTTTCCCCCTTGTTTATAAACAGAGTACACACTCATTGTAGAAAACTAGAGAAGGAGGTATACAAAGTAGTGGATGGGGGGAAAATCTCCTATAATTATACCACTAAGAAATATCTATAAAACCTGTAATCTACAAAAGTATTTTTATATCTTACTTCTTTAACATTTGATGATAAGCACTTTTTCCAAATTACAGCAACTCTCTATAAACAATATTTAAAAATACCTGAAGTATTAGGTCATATGGAAAGGGTAATAACTTTAAAAAATCATTATTCTACTATTGAACAGATATTCAAAAGGGTGGCCTGCTTTTCTTACTGTAAATAAAAGGAGAAATATCTTCGTATGTAAATCTGTCTACATTTCCAATTTTAAGGTAAATTCTGGAAATACTGGATAATAGTATATAAAAATACCTGTGTTTTTATTGCTTCAATAGCACTCTAGACTGGATTATCATTTAAGAAAATCTTTGTTAGGATATCAGCGATATCCAGTTGTTCTTTTTTTTTTTTCTTTCTTCAATTTTTGAGACAGAGTTTTGTTCTTGTTGCCCAGGCTGGAGTGCAGTGGCATGATCTAGGCTCACTGCAACGTCTGCCTCCCTGGTTCAAGCGAGTCTCCTGCCTCAGTCTCCCAAGTAGCTGGGATTACAGGCGTCCATCATCTCATCTTACTAATTTTTTATATTTTTAGTAGAGATGGGGTTTCATCATGCTGGCCAGGCTGGTCTCAAACTCCTGACCTCAGGTGATCTGCCCACCTTGGTCTCTCAAAGTGCTGAGATTACAGGCATGAGCCACTGCGCCTGGCCCAGTTTTTATAATCTGTACTTCTTACTGAGAATTTTCATATTAGTTTCTTTATATATATATATATATATATGTGTGTGTGTATATATATATATATTTTTTTTTTAACTGACTGTGGGAATTGCTCCATTCCAATTAAATGTATTTTTTATTTTATTTTTTGAGGCAGAGTCTCACTTTGTTGCCCAGGCTGGAGCGTAGTGGGGCAATCTCTGCTTCCTGGGTTTAAGCAATTCTCATGCTTCAGCTACCAGAGTAGCTGGGATTATGGGTGTGTGCCACCGCGCCAGGCTAACTTTTGTATGTTTAGAAGTGATGGGGTTTCACCATGGTGGCCAGGCTGGTCTCAAACTCCTGACCTCAAGAAATCCACCCACCTCGGTCTCCCAAAGTGCGGGGATTAAGGCGTGTGCCACCATGCCTATTAGTTTATTTTTATACCTTTCAAGAAATGGCTTTTCACTTCTTTTCCTTATGTTCATTTCTATGGGCTCTTTGAATATTTACTCCTGTTCTGTTCATTGTGAATATAATTCCTAGTCTTAGGCTTGATTTTATGTTTCCTTTTTTCTGTCACCATACCACACCTCTTCTATTCACTATCTACCCCTATTGATGGTGGCAGGCTAAAAACCTGAGAATGCACCTAAACATTTTCCTCTCTTTTCCCTTGGTAGGTAGAGAAATGAATGTCCCTGGGCTAAGTATAAAAAGGTACAGGTTCTTCTCTGGCCTTGTCACTGCCATGACCCACAGTACACCCTTCAAAACCGTATACTGGAATGTAATTCTTGCTGTCTGTCCAAGCCTTATGAAAGTTTAAACCTATTCTTTCTTTCTGGAATTTCAGTCACCTGTATAGTTATAAACTGAAAAAGTTTAGACAAGACAACATATTTGAAAGTACACTGTAAAGTGCTATATAAATATTATGAACAACAACTAAAAATAAGAACAAGAGGGGAGGAATTAACAAAAAATTATAGATATTTTGCTGTGGAAAGACTGCAACATGAGACCGAAAAAACAAAAACAAAAACAAAAAAAATCACTATATCTCACCGAAGATCCAAACCAGCTTCTTTCCAGAGTAAATCCATCAAGCGCAACATTTGGAGTGTCAACATATCCTGTCGTAAATCTAAGGGAAAACAAACTACTTCGTTATAAGTGCTTTCCCTTTTATGCCCTGTAACTCATTAATTCAAGATTAAATCAGTCAGAATTAACTAAAAACGTTAACTAATGCTATGCTAATATTTTCGCTAATTTTATAACAAATAGTACACTCACTGGATAGTATGTCCCTATAACATTATTTTAGAAATTATATTAAAAGATTTTTTAATTGCTTATAATGTGTAAACTACTATACTAATTGTATGCTGTAACACTGTTTGTATTACATGGTATGTGTATTATATTAATTACACAGCTAATTTTTTTCCTTCTTGCTTGCTTTTAGGGTTACACAGGGAGTCCTTAAGAATCACATAATTAATTGAATCACGAGGTCACAAAACTGTAATGGTTGAATTTATTCACATGTCTAAGGGTATTTTCAGGGAAGAGACCACATGAAACTAGTGACATCCACATAATGACATCTGTATGGTCAAGTGGCATTAAATGTTTAGCAAACCTCTATGAGTTCTTTATAAGTTGTAAGCACATATTCTAATAAGCACATTTACTTATGTTATCTCAACTCCTTTTAATAGCCCTGACATACAGATACTATAATCCTCATGGATGTGAATAATCTGAAGTTCAAGCAGTTTTCTATGACTTGTTTGTAGTCACATAACTAACAAGTCACCACTGCCTATTGGCTGGTGTGATTACTTCAGAGGCATTTCCTCTACAAATGGTGGGTTTGTCAGGTGCTTTTATTAAAATACAAAACTATGGCAGCAAAATCAATATTGCTATTACTGAAACAGGATGTATGAATATATTACTGAAAATATCCTTGCCTGGGCACAGGGGCTCATGCCTGTAATCCTAGGACTTTGAGAGGCTGGAGTGGATGAATCACTTGAGCTCAGGACCTCACCACCAGCCTGGGCAACATGGTGAAACCCCATCTCTACAAAACATAGAAAAAGTGAGCCAAGTGTGGTGGCATGTGCCTGTAGTCCCAGCTACTCTGGGGGCTGAGGTGGGATGATCGCTTGAGCCTGGGAGGTGAAGGATGAAGCCAAGATCGTACCACTGCACTCCAGCCTGGATGACAGAGTGAGACACTGTCTCAAAAAAAAAAAAAAAAGAAGGTAAAAATATTATCTCATATTTCAAAAGCTTTTTAATCAAAGGAGTAGACATACTTGGTATTTTGTAGGAGAAAATTTAGGTTCGTTAGGACAGTGTATTTCAGTGAATGGTATAAATCATTTTCTAAGAAGGAAAAAAAGGCATTTAGGACATTTTGAATTTGACTTTATGACCATTAATAGCTATCTTCATGGCTGCAAACTGTTAAACACTTTCACTACACATCACCTTTCAGATAAGGCAAAATGGCAACAAATGAAAAATTCCAAGGAATTTGATGATGATAAAAAAGCTCAGTACTTACCATCACCATTTTTGAAAATCACTCCAACTGAATCCTCACCAAATACTTTGTTATTGTATACCAGCCACAAAGGCTTCATTTTGGAATCCATGTATTTGCACTTTTCAACACTAAAATCAAGAAAATTAGTCAACTTCAGTGTAGTGATACACAAGACTATACTTTTACCATGATATAACAGGCTTGGGAAAATTCCTCACCTATTCCTTTAAGGTCTGCAGAGGAGTCAAAAAAGTCCCACTTGGTAGAAAAGCAACCATGAGGACAGCCTTGGATGACATATACTGATGCCAGATAGGCTGGACTCAAAACCCAAGATCTGCCCTTCTCACCTTCTCCACTTAAAATTCCTCCTCTCATTTCCTTTTGTTTGTAAATTATTACATTTAGTGAATAAAAAATTATAACAAATCATTGGATTAAAATTAGAACTATTATGAGGTCATTCTTGATTTCTTAACAAGGGGTTCATTTGAATACTGACAGTACACTGAATAACAGAGTATTATTTTTCATTATCACTTTTGTAGGAAATGAGAAAATGAGAAATAAGTTGCCAAATTCACTCAAGACAAGATCTCATTTTAAAATAGGAAAATCAATCAGTAAACAATTTACTATAGTTTCCAACATTTTGCTTGTTAGGACTATCAACTCTTAAAAATCAGTAATATAGAAAATAAATTTAATTATATATAACTGAAATATGAATTCGTTTGTAACTTTCACTAAACCCACAGGTAAGTTTAGCTGACAAGCATATATTCTATTGAATATAAACACAGCCTCTGAGAACTTTTAAGACTTTCCTTCTTTAATTATATTCTATCTCCTGAGGCTGACAGCTGGCCCTGCTATTCCTCTAAGGCAGCGACTTTCTGCTTGCTATTTCATAGGAGACTCACTGAACAAAGCACAGTCACTTACTAGAGTTCCGAGAGGATAACACATGGGTTCAGGGGTGACTGCAGGTCAGAGAGGGCTTCCCGGTAAGCACTCTGTTTTAAACAGGTGTGCATGGCCTCCTTCCCTTTGGCTCTGTTTAACTTCACTGCATTCAGTTTTATTAAACTATTTAAAGTTTTTAACTTATTGAGGGCTTCAACCTGAAAAATAAGTTCCCCACACAAAAAATTCATTTGATTAAAAATAATAATATCATGTGATCATGTGACTAACACCTGCTCCCAACACATAAACATACATAATCAGCTGAAGTAAAAATAGTGTCTGCTTTATGAAAAGTATTTTACATATAATAAACAACTTATTTTTAACAGTTGTTATTTATGGCATCATTTTCAAAGTTGCTTTAAACCTTTTCTTATAAATTTGAGAAAAGCAGTCATAGATCATGGGTATTTAAGAAGATAAATGTGGGCCAGCACTTTGGGAGGCTGAGGCAAGTGGATGACTTGAGGTCAGGACATCAGCCTGGGCAACATGGTAAAACTCTCTCTCTACAAAAAAACACAAAACTTTGCTAGGCATGGTGGCACTCGACTGTAATCCCAGCTACTCAGGAGTCTGAGGCACAAGAATCGCTTAAACCTTGGAGGCGGAGGTTGCAGTGAGCTGAGACTGAACCACTGCACTTCAGCCAAAGTAAGAGAGTGAGAAACTGTCTCAAAAAAAAAAAAAAAAGAAAGAAAGAAACAAAAGAAAAGAAAAAGAATATGAAGCTTAAACTATTCAAAATTCTGCAATTCACTGAGTAGTAGAATTTAATACATCACTAATCTAAACCAGTCCATTTGGCCAATTCCATAGTATAAGAGAAAAAGCTATGTAGAAGTAACTCTGAGGTTCTTGCTATTCAACCTTAATATCCACTTCTTGTCATCACTCTTGTACCATATCTCAATATATTCTCTTTCCATTAACAAAATAGCTAGAATGAATTATTGTCTAATAAAGTGTGAATACAGACATAGTATGTTATTCAAATCTAAATTACTTGTTTTTACAATAACTATGGCTATCGAAACTTAAGCAAGTAAAAAAAAAAACTTACGCAAGTAGTACAAGGTGTATCAACAACGGCCAACTAAATCAAAACCATTATGTATAAAGTTCAACTTTAGGCTGGGTGCGATAGCTCACGTCTGTAATCCCAGCACTTTGGGAGGCCGAGGCAGGTAGATCAGTTGAGGCCAGAAGTTTGAGATCAGCCTGGCCAACATGGAGAAACCCCATTTCTACTAAAAATACAAAAATTAGCCAGGCATAGTGGTGTGCAGCTGTAATCCCAGATACTCAGGAGGCTGAGGCAGGAGAATCACTTGAACCCAGGAGCCAGAGGCTGCAGTGAGCCCAGATCACACCACTGCACTCTCTAGCCTAGGCAATAGAGTGAGACTATGTCTCAAAAAATAAATAAATAAATAAGGGATAGGTGCAGTGGCTCACCCCTGTAAACCCACCACTTTCGGACGCCGAAGTGGGTGGATCACTTGAGGTCAGGAGTTCAACACCAGCCTTGTCAACATGACGAAACCTCATCTCCACTAAAAATACAAAAAGTAGTCAAAAGGGGTGGCGCATGCCTGTAATCCCAACTACTCAGGAGAGGCTGGAGAATTGCTTAAACCTGGAAGTTGGAGGTTGCAGTGAGCCAAGATCACGCCACTGCACTCCAGCCTGGGCAACAGAGTGAGACTCCGTTGCAAAAAATAAAACAAATAAATAAATAACAATATATTTCAACTTTTCTATTTGATAACTGAGGGTCCTTTCATGTCATATTATGTAAAATTCATAACAACCTCAACCAACCATAAAGGAGAAACATTTTACTTTATATCATTAAAACTGGAAAAAACAAATGTTAAAAATAGAATTTAAAAATATACTGGTTGAGCATGGTGGTTCACGCCTGTAATCCCAGCACTTTGGGAGGCTGAGGTGGGTGGATCACCTGAGGTCAGGAGTTTGAGACCAGCCTGACCAACATGGAGAAACCCCGTCTCTACTAAAAATACAAAATTAGCTGGGTGTGGTGGTGCATGCTAATCCCAGCTACCTGTAATCGAGCTGAGGTAGGAGAATCGTTTGAACCTGGGAGGTGAAGGTTGCAGTGAGCTGAGATTGAGCCACTGCATTCCAACCTGGGCAACAAGACTGAAACTCTGTCTCAAATAAAAAAAGTATACTGTATGTAACAAATATATAAAATATGTATATCACAAATACAAACAATGTGGCTTGAAAATCCAACAAGAGATTTAATTTATATCATGTTTTCATTTTTTCTTTTGATGTTTTCATTTTTGAACTCTACTTGTATACAAGGAAATCACAAAGACTATGTATGTAGGGAGATGAATTTAAGCATGGAGTTTCCACAGAGGCTCGGACCTTGCTCACAGGAAACTAGGAAGGACCTATGCAGCTTTATGATAAAATAGAGATGGCTGAAACTTGCCAAGTTACCCATCTGTTAAAACCACAGATCACTCTACTTCTCAACAGTTTCAGGAGCTGTACAAACACTAATGACAAGGCAACCAGATAAAAACTGGGCTATGAAAACAGGAACTTTTTAGAAGTATTTGAAATTTGATACTTCTTCCATGTCTGTACAGTTGGAAAGTTTTGTGCTCCATCTCTAACTGTGTTGATATCCACTTCCTGGAACAGTGTCCTGTTCCATAGTCCCTATGGCCATAAGTCTAATACTTCAAGTGTTTCAACACCTTGTCGTTTTATTAAGTTTACAGTAATAGCAAGAACTGCCATGTATAAGGTAAAGTCTTCCTCTCACAATTTATCAATCAAAACAAAAAAAGGAGTAAGAATAATTTGTTCATACATATATCATCCTTTTATTGTCTTTAACATGAAGCTGAGGCTCCAAGAAAATAGGCAGTGTGGTAAACAGTCATATGATGATATTAAACAAATTATGACTAACTATGGCCTAACATGCTTTGGCAGAAAATTTGAATTTTACACATAGTACAATGAAAAATTATTGAAAGAATTTTAAAGGGGAAATGATGTAATACAATCTCCTTTTTTTTTTTTTTTTTTTTTGAGACAGTCTTGCTCTGTTGCCCAGGCTAGAGTATAGTGGTACAATCATAGCTCACTGCAACCTCAAATTCCTGGGTTCAAGCAATCCTCCCACCTCAGCCTCCCAAGTAGCTGGAACTACAGTAGCAAGCCACCTTCTAATATTTTGTAGAGATGGGTCTCACTATGTTGTTCAGGTTAGTCTTGAACTTCTGGGCTCAAGTGATCCTCCCACCTTAGCCTTTCGAAGTGCTGGGTTTTCAGGTGTCAGCCACTGCATCTGGCTACATCTACATTTTTGTTTGTTTGTTTGTTTTTTGAGATGGAGTTTCGCTCTTGTTACCCAGACTGGAGTGCAATGGCACGATCTCGGCTCACCGCAACCTCCGCCTCCTGGGTTCAGGCAATTCTCCTGCCTCAGCCTCCCTAGTAGCTGGGATTACAGGCACGTGCCACCATGCCCAGCTAATTTTTTGTATTTTTAGTAGAAATGGGGTTTCACCATGTTGACCAGGATGGTCTCGATCTCTTGACCTCGTGATCCACCGGCCTTGGCCTCCCAAAGTGCTGGGATTACAGGCTTGAGCCACCGCGCCCAGCCTACATCTACATTTTTAAAAGGTCACTTTATCTTCTGTGTATAGAATGTGGGGCAGGAGGAGAGATGTAAGAAGGGAAACAAAGGGCACAATTTAGGAAGTTAATGAAGAAGTCCAGTGGAAAAAGAATAATAGCTTGGACTAGGAGGGTAGCCATGAACACAAGGGAAATAGGCAGAGGTGTGAGATATATTTCAGAATTCTATAAAATTCAGAGGATTAATAATATTTGATTCCATGTTGCTGTGAAGAATAAATGACCCATAATAAGTGATGAATAAACATTAGCTATTATTACCATCATTAATGGGCTTTTCAAAAAGAAGAGATCAGAAAAAGTTTTTAACATCATGAAAAAGCCTAAATACTAAAAACACCTAATGGAAGCCTATGAGAATTCCTGTGGCACCACAAATGAATTAGAAAAGAGTAGTTTATCTAGAAATTAGGAATCTGATATAAAAATAGGGTGGAGCTGGGCATGGTGGCTCATGTCTGTATTATCAGCACTTTGGGATCAATATAGAATATATTAGGAATTCTAATTATTTTTCAGGTAGCATTCAGTAAATATTTTTCTGCTAAATTCATTGAAACTTAATTTCTTGACTTAAATTTTGATAAAAGAATTTATTAATCAGGTTATTAGTTACTGAGACTTCTAGGAAATAACGTGGTGGGAGAAATGGCATTTGATAAAACTGATCAAACACTATGTACCAAACTGAACATGAAGATTAAAACAAGCTAATATTCATGCTTTAACCTTTGTCTGTCAAAAAAAAGAAAAAATGAATAAACAAAATAAGCTGATACCTGCTTGGAAAGTACTTTCATGTGCCCCACACTTCCCCGACAGTATGCTTCAAGGATGACACCAAACTGTACTGAGACAGCAGGAATGTGCACTTCCGACCTGCAGGAAGTTAATGATATCCAAATGGTTTATCAAACACTTCAGATCATCAAATAAATATTGACTTCTTTATTCTACAAAAAAATAAACATGATGGCAAGGTAATTGTGTGCATTATTATTATTATTATCTTTTTTGTTTTTTAGATGAAGTCTCACTCTGTCGCCAGGCTGGAGTGCAGTGGCAAGATCTTGGCTCACTGCAAGCTCCACGCCCCAGGTTCGAATGATTCTCCTGTCTCAGCCTCCCGTGTAGCTGGGATTACAGGCATGCACCACCATGCTTGGCTAATTTTTGTATTTTTAGGAGAGACAGTGTTTCACCATGTTGGCCAGGTTGGTCTTAACTCCTGGCCTCAAGTGATCCACCTGTCTCAGCCTCCCAAAGTGCTGGGATTACAGGCGTGAGCCACCGCACCCGGCTATTTTGTGCATAATTATTAGTGAGATGGGTCAACTTTCCAATTTGTTAAACTTCAAAGTTCAAAATCTGTGTGATTCTATAATTAGTTAATTCTTTATTCCAAGAAATCTAAAATGTGCACATCTTAACCTGATTTGCTTTTTGTAGGGGTAAGGTGATCTTACCAATTTAAAAACATTAGGCTAAAACAGAGATCTATGAAATCCAACTAGCATTATACAACTGACTAATGCCCTGATTAGCAACTATTCCAATTTTTTTCTCACTTAAAAACTGGTGTACATATTTGAAAAAGGAAGGAATACTTATTTTGCTATTCCCTGAGGGATTTAAAAACTAAGACCGAATGAACGAGAAAAGACTAGTTAAAAATAAGAAAACGTTCTAGAACAACACAAGGAATTAAAAAGGGGGGGGGATCTATGAATAATAAGAAAATCATATCCAGAAATAAAACTTCTAAAATCAGCAGCACAATATTATAGAGCTTATTGCCTTTGAGAAGCTCAGCAAAGAAAAAGAAGAAAGAGGAAAAGGAAGGAAGGAGGGAGGGAAAGAAAGAATAAAAGAAAGGAAGAAAGAAGAAATCAAGCAGGCATGGAGGGACACATAAGGATCTTGAATAACTGAATTACTTTGTCAAATCATGAAAATCAAGAGTACAGGTATCAAGAAATAGGAGAAGGCACCAAAACTATACATGTTATAAACGGCTCAGAAATAAATGAAAGCAGCTATTTATTCTATTAAATATATTATGGTGATTTATAATTACTAAAGCACATGGTAGGCTCAAATTGAAATACAGAAGACTTACCTAAGATGCCAAAATAGAAACTGCCCTATCCTCCGATTAGCAAGTGCTCTTTCTAATAGGAATCTAGAGAGGGCACAATCAAGAAAAGGCTCATACTTTAAAACTTGCACCAGTTGTAAAAGATATTGAGAAAGTTCTTCATCACTGAAAGAAGCAAAAGACAGTGAGTAAGCAAACAACCTGTGGCAGTAAAAGATCCCTTCCTGTCAAACTATCAAATGTGAACTTGTTGAAACACAATGGTTCTTTTGGGTCAGGCTTGTTACATGCATGCCTTCACTGAACCACTGTTAAAACACCACAAAACAAGCTAAAGATTGCAGATAGGGAAAGGGAGGTGAAGAGCGTAAAAAAACAGATACAAGAGACATTTTAATCAAATGAATTAGATTGTGATATGGTTTGGCTTTGTCCCCACCCAAATCTCACCTCAAATTATAGTCCTTATAATCCCCATGTGTCGAAGGAGGGTCCTGGTGGAGGGTAAGTGAATCAATGTGGCCCCCCCCATGCTAATCTCATGTAGTGAGTGAGTTCTCATGAGATTTGATGGCTTCATGAATGGTGGTTTCCCCTGCTCGTTCCCTTTTCCTGACACCTTGTGAGGATGGTACTTGCTTCTCCTTTGCCTTCCAGCATGATTTTAAGTTTTGTGAGGCCTCCTCAGCCATGTGGAACTGTGAGTCAATTAAACCGCTTTCCTTGATAAATTACCCAGTCTCAGGTATTTCTTTATAACAGTTTGAAAACAGACTATTACAGATGGTTAAAACTGATGACTGTGCTGAGTTACCAAAAATATTAGACACTTCAATACTGATTTCTCATCATGCTAAAAAATTTATGTGCTTAGTTGAACAATCATTTTTAAAATAAAAATCCCATCAGTAATTTCACAATTTATTTTCCTTTGCTATCATTAGGGTTAAGTAAGTTCTCCCAGATAACCAATGAACAATTAAAATCTTAACTTCAAATAGTTTGAAAGATGAGAAAGTGAATACATTTATAAGTGGGAATTGATCACTGAATTCATATAACATACAATATTGTAATTAACTGAGCTGAATTAATTAAGGTTAGTGGCTATTTTGTGTCAATCTCCAGACCATTCACCTGTAAACACACTCCCATCAGAGGCAATTCCAGCAGTATGAGGTAGGAAGCCCAAGTGCTCCACTTAATGTCTATAGTCTTGGGTAATAAATGGTTAAGGAATTAGTAGTCTAAGGCAGATATCTGGCATTGAAACCCAGGGCATTATTTAAAAACAAAACAAAAAAAAAAAAAAAACCCTCATAATCAGAAAATTTGACAATGGAAAAACCACCAGAATTAGCTACATGGAATACACAGATCATAGCAATCTCCTCAGAGGGATCAATGCATTTAAGAAAAACACTTGGTTCAGCCCAAGGAGAACCAGGTGGCCCCTCCACAAGAGGTCTCCAATGCAAACTTAAGGAGATGGTGGAGCAACTGGCAATTCAGTTTCTAAAACTACCTATAAGACAGTCTCGATTAGACTTATTGTAAAATTCATGCCAATTATATAATCTGTAAATAGTGTAAAAGTTAGGAAGTATAGGAATAGAAGGAGGCTTCCTCTTCTCTCACATTTCTAATTTCACTCCCCAGAAATAAGCACTGTTGGTGAGTCTGGGTAATTTCTTTTGGATATCATGTAGCGTAAAACATACAAAATTTTAAAAAGAAAAAATGATCATAGTATCCATACTATTTTGAGAGCTTTCATTTTTCAAAAACCATAAAGTACATAAGCCTCATTTTTGAGGGTAGAAAGAAAATAGATAAACTTCATTGTTTGAGACATTCATTTCGTCAGTGAATCTCATAGATTCTCACAAATGCACCACCCAAAGGAGACTGTACAAACATGTTCACTGCAGCATTTTTTATAATAGGGAAATATGGAGAAAACTTAAATGTTACTTAATAGAGAATTAAATAAGATATATCCCTATGACAGAATATTATAAAGTAAAGGAATAAATTTAAACATAATGGGAGACACTAACCTCAAAATCCTAATGTTGACTTTTTTGGGGGGTAGGGGGGTGGGGGACAGAGTCTCACTCTGTAGCCCAGGCTGGAGTGCAGTGGCACAATCTTGGCTCACTGCAACCTCTGCCTCCCGGGTCCGGGTTCAAGCAATTCTCCTGCCTCAACCTCCCGAGTAGCTGGGATTTAAGGCACGTGCCACCATGCCCAGCTAATTTTTGTATTTTAGTAGAGATGAGGTTTAATCATATTGGCCAGGTTGGTCTCGAACTCCTGATCTCATGATCTACCTGCCTCGGCCTCCCAAAGTGCTGGGATTACAGGCGTGAGCCACCAAATTTTTATTTTTATTTATTTTATTTTTTGAGACAGAGTCTCACTCTGTCACCCAGGCTGGAGTGCAGTGGCACCATCTCAGCTCCTGCAATCTCCGCCTCCAGGGCTCAAGTGATCCTCCCACCTCAGCCTCCCAAGTAGCTGGGATCGAAGGTGCACACCTCCACGCTCAGCTAATATCTCCGTATTTTTGGTAGAGATGGGGCTTAACCATGTTGCCCAGTCTGGTCTCGAACTCCTGGGCTCATTGATCTGCCTGTGTTGGCCTCCCAAAGTGATGGGATTATAGGCATGAGCCACTACACCTGGTTGGTCTTTTTTCCTTTTTTTTTTTTTGAGACGGGGTCTCGCTCTGCCACCTACACTGGAGTGCAGTGGTACAATCTCGGCCCAATGCAACTTCTGCCTCCTGGGTTCAAGTGGTTCTCTTGCCTCAGCCTCCCAAGTAGCTGGGATTACAGGCGCCTGCCACTATGCCCAGCTAATTTTTTGTATTTTTAGTAGAGAAGGGGTTTCACCATGTTGGCCAGGCTGGTCTTGAACTCCTGACCTCAAGTGATCTGCCCACCTTGGCCTCCCAAAACGCAGGGATTACAGGCGTGAGCCACTGCATCCAGCCATCTAGCCAAATTTTCAAAAAGCAAGATATAAACTAATGCATATGGCAAGACATACTTGTGCAATAACGATTCCACATCTATATTTTCACAGACATATATGATGAAACAGAAAAATGTGATATAGAAGCATACACACCAAATTCATTATAATGTTTACCTCTGGGAAGGAAGATAAGTAATTAAGACTGAGTAAGAAAACTACAAGGACTTCAACTTTAATTGTAATGTATTTGCTTAACAATATATATTTTTAAACCCATGACAAAAATTAACATTTCTTAATTCTGGATGGTGGACAGACTGTGTGAAGAAAAGAGGTAGCACAGCAGGTTTGGCTATTATTCTTTAACAAGTCTGCTTATAGGATCGGCCCATGGCTGGCATCTGGGAATTAGATTTCCAAAGGTTCCTACCACCTTCCTAATTGATTGATGAGTGGCTCACTGCACCTAAACTGTTTGTGTAAACAATGGTTTATGTTGTATAACCACTTTACTCCTAGGAGTATAGAAATCTGGTACATGCTAGGCAGAGGGTGCTTATGTGATAGCCGCCAGTAAAAACCCTGGCCACCAAATCTCTAACAAGCTTCCCTTGCAGACATGTATTATCACAATTCACTCCTGATAGAATTAAAAGTGTTCAGTGTGACTTCATTGGAAAAGGACTCCTACAAGCTTATGTATGCCTGTTTTCCTCATGATTTCACCCCCATGAATCTTTTTCTCTATTCGAATTTTGCTCTGTATCATTTTGCTGTAATAAATTATATCTGTAAATGACTATATGCTGAGTTCTGAGTCCTTCTAGTGAGTCATCAATCCTGAGGGTGATCTTGAGGACCTTCGGACACAGTATGCTTTTGTTTTGTTCTAGTATAAATGTTGAGTCGGGGGAAGCGGCAGGAGTACAGGAGCAAATGCTTTCTCTGAACTGTAAGTAATTCTGATCCCTTTTCTTTCTTACAAGACATCAAGGACACACCCCTGTCCCAAACCCACCCAAGCTATTCCTTGCCCCAAAGAAAACCAGCTGCAGAAGATACCTCATCTGTCGCAGGCAGCCTACAGCATATTCTCGAACATACTGGTCTGGATAGTTGAAATCCAGAAGCTCTAGGGCCTCCCGGGGGGGCAGTTTAGGCCAAATCTGAAGCAGTGCCTGAAGCTGTTTAAAAAATGAAAATGGTTCAGAAATAATGGGGGACAGAAATAATCTAATTTTCCTTGACACAAGAGCACTGAGATGGGTCAAAAGAAGACAAAGCACACTTTTAATTACTGAGGCCTCAAAAATCCATTCCTGTTAATATAAACTAATAAAGATCGTCTTTGTTGTTGAAACATTCTATAGACAAGTTGAAAAAGCTATGAAGTACTTACCCCCAAATAAACTTTATGGGTGAGAGTGAAAAAAATGTTTAATTTGTATGTAGCCCTCATAAAACTCAAACCCCATCTGAGAAAATCTTATTCCTTAGTATTAATTTCACTCATTGGATTTTCTTGGGTATAACATAAGTACCACTGACATCAATGTTATGGAAAGTATATGATATATATGCAAGATCAGTGCTATAAAACTATGGTAAATAGATGGCAGTGATTAGAGGATTTTCTTTCAATTGATTGCTCAAAGTCTTATTGGGAGAGATGGTCTGGTCTGCAAGCACTTGCTGGCTGTCTTATGGATGTTATGTTTGATTTTCAGATCAATCAGCTTTGAGAATTCAATAAAAACAGTTAATATTTTATTACTTAAGTTATTCAACCCATCATTAATTATGGCAAACTCTCTCCAAAAAGTCAGTATCCAGCAGCTAAGGATATTTTCCCATATCAAGCAAAAGTAAATAAAAATTAAGTTTACTAAAGATAATTTAACTTAATATTTTCAGTTGTTTTACATTTAATAAATATTTTTGGGAAAATAATACTTTTGAATAATTTTCTAAAAATCTAATTACTCTATTATTAGCATATATTTATATAAATTGTCTTTTTTTTTTTTTTTTTTTTTTTTTTTTGGAGACTGAGTTTTGCTCTCGTTGCCCAGGCTGGTGGAGTGCAATGACACAATCTCAGCTCATTACAACCTCTGCCTCCCAGACTCAAGCGATTCTCTTGCCTTGGCCCCCCCCCGCCCCGAGTAGCTGGGATTACAGGTGCCCACCACCATACCCAGCCAATTTTTTGTGTTTATTTTTAGTAGAGATGGAGTTTCACCATGTTGGCCAGGTCTCCAACTCCTGACCTCAGGTGATCCACCCAGCTCGGTCTCCCAAAGTGCTGGGATTACGGGCATGAGCCACTGTGCCTGCATAAATTGTTAAACTATATATGTAATTTGATACAATTCACTTGTGAAAAAATTACATAGATAATTATTTAGCAAATACAGTGAAATGCTAGTAGTTTTTAAATTTAACTTTTCTTTTAAGAGACAGGGTCTCATTCTGTTGCCCAGCCTGGAGTGCAGTGGCACCATCATAGCTCACTACAGCTTTGAACTCCTGGGTACAAGCGATCCTCCCATCTTAGCCTCCTGAGTAGCTAGGACTACAGGCACACACCACCTAGCCTATAGGCAGGACTACAGGCACATACCACCATGCCCAGCTAATTTTATTTTATTTATTTATTTTTGTAGAGATGGGGTCTCACTATGTTGCTCAGGCTGGTCTCAAATTCCTAGCTTCAAGTGATCTTCCCAACTCTGCTTCCCAAAGTGCTGGAATTTTTATGGTGGCTTGAGCCACCATACCCAGCTTAAATTTTAACTTTAAACTTAAGTTTTACTTAGTTATTCTTAACCCTGTATTAAATAAAGCTTGCTCTTTTTTTTTACATATACAGCATGGATACACATACAGTACATGAACAGATGTACCATGTATCTGTAAAATCAAAATCTCAAGGGTTATTGCACGGAAAAAAGGTCTATAAAAACTCTTAAGGATATAGTGATGAAAACGCACTAAGAAATACTGGTATAAAGACGTAAGCACCAACCTCATCCCCACTTTTTCTCCCTACTTTGCCCAAGGCCCTAATGGACCAGCAGTTTTCATTATGGGCAGAAGAGCTGGGAAGAGACTATTTTCTGAGGTTTTGAAACAGCAGTAATAAAAAAAAAACTTCTAGTATCTCCAATTAATACTTGGAATATGCTACCCATAAATAATACAGAAAAGGAGAGATAATATTATGTAGTAGAGGTTCAGCAATGCTGTAGTTAAAAACAACTCTTCCATTAAAAAATAATGACTTTTCATAAGATTTATAATTACTAAAAATTAAATTATATAAGTGTAAAATTAATCGCCAAAACTCACCAAATCTCTCTATAAGACAGCTTTTAAGAGTACAGTAAGAAATTTTTTCCATTGTGATTCTAATGAAATAATAATATGATACATTTCTTAGATATGCACTCAGCACTAGACACTATCCAAAAGAAATAAGCAAATGTGCCAAGTTAAAAAATTCCTAGATTTTGTTTTCCATTACTGAAGGTTCCTGGAAAATGAATCCAAAATTTAGACAATAAATCAGTGGCTAGAAGACAATAACTATTCTAGAGCAATGAAAATTAAATCATTCCTTCTCAGTCTAATTTGGTCTAAGGTAGAAACAGTTTACACAAGGTACATACAATTATGTAATTATAGAACGTTTCCAAAGATTGATTGATTGATTATTTATTTAATTATTTGAGACAGGGTCTTCCTCTGTCACCCAGGCTAGAATGCAATGGCACAATCTCAGCTCACTGCAACCTCAGCCTCCTGGGCTCAAGTGATCCTCCTGCCTCAGTCTCCCTAGTAGCTGGAACAGGTGTGTGCTGCCACATCGGGCTAATTTTTGTATCTGTTGTAGGGACACAGTTTCACCATGTTACCCAGGCTGGTCTCAAACTCCTGATCTGCCTACCTCAGCCTCCCAAAGTGCTGGGATTACAGACACGAGCCACCAACCCTGGCCATTTTTCTTTTTTTGAGACAAGATCTCACTCTGTTGCCCAGGCTGGAGTGCAATGGCATTTGGCTCACTGCAGCCTCAACTTCCCAGATTCAAGCAATCCTCCCACTTCAGCTTCTCAAGTAGTTGGGTCTACAGGTACATGCCACCATGCCCAGCTAATTTTTGTATTTTTTATAGAGATGGGGTTTCATCATGTTGCCTAGGCTGGTCTGGAACTCCTGAGCTCAAACTATCCAACTGCCTTGGCCCCTCAAAATGCTGGGATTAGAGGCGTGCATCACCACGCCTGGCTCCAAAGATCTTTAGGCACTAAAAGTAAACCCAAAAGAAATCCTTTCTACACTTAATTTAAGAAGTGAAACAATAAAACCAAAGATTTAAAAAATGAATATAATTAAGATAAATCTGTACTTCTTCACTATATTTTTAGTCACTATAAATTTACTAAGACTACATACTAGAGAAATTGATTGAACTTAAATAAGTAACATGAAAACATTTGGTTATTTTAGTAGACCAAATTTATCTTTTCTGATTAAAAAAACCATTTCAAAGGTCTTTCAATTGAGCACTGGTGGGTTGTTTGAACTGAATAAATGCCAGTGCTTTTTGGCAGGGTCTTGAAAATTAAATCAAGGAACTAAAATTTGTTTTTGTTTTTTTTCTTTTTAGATGGAGTTTCACTCTAGCTGTCCAGGCTGGAGTGCAATGGCACAATCTCGGCTCACTGCAACCTTCGCCTCCTGGGTTCAAGCAACTCTCCTGCCTCAGCCTCCCGAGTAGCTGGGATTACAGGCGCTCGCCATCATACCCAGCTAATTGTTGTATTTTTAGTAGAGACAGGGTTTCACCAAGTTGGCCAGGCTGGTCTCGAACTCCTGATCTCAGGTGATCCACCTACTTTGGCCTCCCAAAGTGTTGGCATTACAGGTGTGAGCCACCACATCTGGCCAATATGGTGGTTTTTTTTGAAGCAAAATGGTCTTTTTTCTATTCTGCCAAAAGGCATACATTCAGTAATACTGGACAACTGAAATGAATGTTAAAATTGATCTGAATGATACATGATCTAAAATGTTATTCTCTATAATATATGTAATTTTCAAACAATGAACATTTTGGAACAGGCATTGCAAAGAGTCATAAGATTTAAAACTCCGGAGTTCATTGATGAAGCTGGTAGAAGGTACCCAGGTCTTAGCAAGTGCTATTTTGATAGATAATTGTCCCAAGATCAGTGTTTCAATTGTATTTGGTGAAAGGTATGGCAATCCTACCCAAAATCTGAGATTTTTAAATCTTGAAAATGTTCTGGTCCATTAATTGGAGTATTAGAGTTTAAAACCTCAAAAATTTCTCCTGCTTAAATTATCCCATCTATGAAAACATACCTACAAGAAAAGGACACTTTATCTGAAACCAACCAAGTACCATATATACCCAAAAAAAGTTAAAGAAACCATCTTTTGTTACCTGCGCAACATCCTCAAGTTTATTCCACTTGATTGACAGCAGTAATTTTGGCAATGACTGTGGGAAATTCTCTCGGCAGTCTTGTCGCAAAGTCCAAATAAGATCCATTTCATTTTCACACAGTTGAGACAAGGGATCCCTGTCCAAGATTTCTTTCAATACAGGAAGAAACTTTTTTCCACCTCGACTCTAAGAAAGTTAAATGCTCATTATAGAATTGTACAAACACCACTGGTAAACATTCAGTGAATTTATATACATTTACATAATAAATGAACCTAAACATGTGAGATATAAAAATATAATTTCATAAAAAAAATACTAAAGGTGGATCCTTTATTAAATTTCTAAGCTAACGAGAGATTCTAAAAATCTAAAAAATGTAAACTGTATAAACACCAGGTGGCAGTATTGCTTTTTGGATAAAAATCCAAGTCAGGCCAGGCAAGGGAGGCTCATGTGTGTAATCCCAACACTTTAAGAGGTCAATGAGGGTGGACTGCCTGAGCTCAGGAGTTTCCAGCTAGCCTGGGCAACATGGTGAAAACCCATCTCTACAAAAAATACAAAAGAAAAAAAAATTAGCCAGGCATAGTTGCACACACCTGTAGTGCCAGGTACTCAGGAGGCTGAGGCAGGAAAATCACTTCAGCCTCGGAGGCAGAGGTTGCAATGAGCCAAGACGGGACCACTGAATTCCAGCCTGGGTGACAGAGCAAGACCCCGTTTCAAGAATAAACCCACAACCAAATCATTTACTATTTGAATTGAATTTCTTTAGTTTTCAAATACTATAAACAAAAAACCGAAGATGATCGAAACATATGAGGCTAAAAATAAAAGTAAGGGGTGCCTTCTTGGCTTGTGCCCTGACTCAAAGGCCTAAAATCTCCTTAGATTAAGAATCAAATGTTGGCTAAAACTAAACATGGAAAAATAACATTTTCCTTCCCAATCCCTACAAGAAAATACTAAAAAAAGAATATGGCCCATGTTGTTTTGGATCCAGACTCTCTGAATTCCACAAAAGAAAGAGGTGTGATTCCCCCATGCTTACATCAAAATTATATTACTTTACTCAAAACATATTTTCCTAAAAATCTCTTTCCAACATTATCTGATAAGAGCCTGTAAGGATCTATAATCTAGTATTATATTACTTTATATTCGACATTATTTTAACTGGGATTTCATATGAACATGAAAATGAATAGAATTATATTATTAGTTTTCAAAAGTAATCCAATTCAAAACAGCATATAGCTAAATTAAAAAACAATGGAAATACTAAGTATAATTTTATTAAAGTAAGAGAAGTGATTTTTGGACACTGGCCTTCAGGGAGACACATTACTGAGAAAAAAACAGACCAAAGACAGGTAAGAACCAAAGCTGTTTAACTGCTAAATTAAGTTGAAAGTTTAAGCTTTCCTCAGCTGAAAGTTTATTTTAAGAGTTAAATACGTTGTTATAATACAAAGAAAGATTAAGTTAATATTTGTATTCTCTTCGGTTTGTCCATTCGTTAATGGAGATTTAAATACTTTCTTGTTATTACAATGGCAATAAAGACATGCATGAAAATGCCTGAGAAACTGATAACTCCATGAGTCTTTCTAGCACAATATTTATCCCAATGAGACCAAAGTGTAGAGTAGAACAGCTGGAAATTTTAACTAACAAGTGGAAAGAGGATTGTTTGCCACTTGGTAGAGAGAAACTAAGCTGAAGAACAAGCACCAATTAGCCAATAAACAGTTCTGATCTTCTGTCTACAGCCTTCCTGACATAACTGTAATGCTTTATATTTAAAACCTTTCCCTGGCTCTGCCACTGTCTACAGAATAAAATTCAAGTTAGTCTCAAAGGATATGAGGACCTTCAAGGCCTCATCTCATACTTTTCCAGTTGCTCTAAATCTCTCAAATTATACATAACTATTAATAATTCAAACTGGTTGCTATATCCTCTACTGCATACTGCAGTGATACTCATTGGCATTTTTTAATACTGTTCATTCTACTTTTCATGCTCTCAAATGATAAACTTATCTCAAAATGGAAGTCATATCTTCTTCCCATGTATAACCCTAGTATGGAACAAACAACACATAAAATACATAAAAAATGAAAACAAATTTGTCATGAACATATTTACATTAAAATTCTGAATCAAGCTATCTTCTATTATAATAAATAACTCTAATAGAATTAAATAACTAAACAAAACAGACTAGGAGATAATTCACTAATTCTCTATATTAGATATCTTTTGACAAGAGTTTAAAAGTTACATCTAGAATAAAGGTCCCTGAAAAACACAAATAAGCTAATCATTCGAATGAGACCAGTTTTCTGATTAGCATATCACTCAGGTCAAGTAGATAGAAAAGGGCAGGCGGGCAGAGAGACAGGCAGGCAGGCACACATACACATGTATGTTCTAGGTGTTTTGCCCAAATCTCTTATTTATTCCAGTTATTGAGGATGATCAATATATGACTTCTTTCCAGTATCTAAAACTTTAGCTACCTGGGAATAATTAACAAAAATTAACAAAAATTGGTAAGATGGGAAAATTACCAGACCCTGGAAAACTAAGTCAAAGGAAGTATGCTACATGCCCTTGTGGTCATTGAAATGAAACAGAGAGTGAAATATGCTCCATTTCATTTTCTTTATGTAGAAATTACCACACTGTGTCAAACCCAAGGAACTTCTTGCTTGGTATCTACCTCTGACAAAGACACAAAGAAATATTATCTTCTCACAAACAGCAACTTTACAGGTTAAACACCCTTGTTTCCCTTAGGATTTCATTACAGATTAATCTTCCATTACTTTAGAAAAGGGTTTTGTTTGCTTGTTTGTATTTTGAGACAGGGTCTCTGTTACCCAGGCTGCAGTGCAGTGGCACAATCTGGCTAATCACAGCGTCAACCTCCTGGACTCAAGGATCCTCCCACCTCAGCCTTTTGAGTAGCTGGGACCACAGGCGTGCACCAACACGTCCAGCTTATTTATATATATATATTTTTGAGACGGAGTTTCACTCTTGTTACCCAGGCTGGAGTGCAATGGCGCGATCTCGGCTCACTGCAACCTCCGCCTCCTGGGTTCAGGCAATTCTCCTGCCTCAGCCTCCTGAGTAGCTGGGATTACAGGCACGCGCCACCATGCCCAGCTAATTTTTTGTATTTTTAGTAGAGGCGGGATTTCACCATGTTGACCAGGATGGTCTCGATCTATCGTGATCCACCCGCTTTGGCCTCCCAAAGTGCTGGGATTACAGACTTGAGCCACCGTGCCAGGCCCATTTTTATATTTTTTGTAGCTATGGGGTTTCTCCAGGCTGGTCTCAAATTCCTGAGCTCCAGCAATCCACCTGCCTCACCTTGCAAAATGCTGGGATTACAGACATGAGCCACTGTGTCCGGCCATAAAAAGTTTTATAAATTTTAATATCTGTATTCCTATAAGATAATGATTTTTCCAAATGTTCTGTACTCCCTTTCAAATATCAACATTGAAAAAATATAAAAATATGAAAAGCTTATATTCTAACAATTTGAAGAATTCCAAGTTTTAATAAATTAAAGAGAATGGATTCTACAATATCTACTTTAAGACAGCCAAAGATGAATCAAATAAGTAAACTCTAAATTCTTGGGATCTTATAGGTAGGCAGATAAAGTTCACTGTACTAAAGAAAATAAACACAAAAATACTATATACCTATTTATAGTGGTTTTATATTTAGAGACTCAACCTATAAAGGGTACATAATTGGGTTTCATTAAAAAATGATGTTATCGGCCAGGTACAGTGGCTCACGCTTGTAATCCTAGCACTTTAGGAGGCCAAGGTGGGTGAATCACAAGGTCAGGAGTTCAAGACCAGCGTGGCCAACATGGTGAAACCCTGTCTCTACTAAAAATACAAAACTTAGCCGGGCGTGGTGGTGGGCGCACCTGTAATCCCAGCCTCTCAGGAGGCTGAGGCAGAGAATTGCTTGAACCCGGGAGGTAGAGGTTACAGTGAGCTGTGATTGTGACACTACACTCCAGCCTAGGCCAAAAGGGAGAGACTCTGTCTCAAGAAAAAAAAACCCAGTCATCAGAATTTGAAAATAAAACTCCTAGCCAAACCTGTTATTGCAAACAACACAGAGTGTGACTTGTTAGTGTCAGAGAAAGACAGCTGTTACGTTCAAAAAGCTAGCAAAAGCTAGCAGGCTGAGTACAATTTGGTGAATCCAAGTTAGACCTCTATAGGCTGCTGTAAGGTATAAACACCCTGAAGACCTACGAATAAGCTAAGTGGGGAGAGCAGTGGAACTGCATAATTGTACTGTTATTGCTTACCGAGGTATGAAAAGCATAATATTGAATAATGCCAAGGTAAAAACTACCAAAAAGCCTAAACCCAAAATCTTAGATTCTTCTATAAAACAACAAAAATAACAGTAATGAAAAATTATACTGTACAGTATAACTGAAGAACTTAAATGCATGTTCAAATGCTTGTACCAAAATAAGCTAAAAGTGGTAGAAAACAATTAAAAATTACAACTATATTTTCTACTGTTTTTACGTTTAGATTTTTTTTAAATCACAAACACACATATTATGATATAATAGTGATTACTGACCCAAAAAAAAACATCTTGCTATAAGCACATGGGAAAACACAAAAACAAAAACCTATGGTTCCTTTCCCTTCCCTATAGAAGGCCACAGACTCATCTGTCATCTTCACAAGGGGTGGGAATGCAGATGGCATGTTAACAGTGTGCTTGCTGGGGACAGACTGTTGAGTTAATTAAGTGTTGCCCAGACATACAGAATTGACCAACACAAAGCAGTCAAGGATAATGAGGCAGAGACTAAGAAGACAGTTATAAGACTATAAGACTAGAAGACTGAATACAAACAGGGGATTGAGCAAATAAGTAAACATATCAAGGTTAACAGGAATCCAGATTTCTCACTGTTAGAAAAGGAAATTAAAATATGAAAAGACAAAGATTAGAAAATATCCATATGGATCCATATTACAGGTACTGATAAGAGCTCATGGTCTTTAATAGATAAATAAATATACCTCTGTGTATATTTATTTTCACAAACATATGTAGGTAAACAAATATATACTGTCTAGCTCTGTTTCACAAAAGGGCCTGGAAGCAAT